CCCCCCCCCAATTTTCCATCTATTTCAACATATGTAGTTACTGGATTTTCTGCACATGTATTTAGGCTAATTAAATGCAAAAATGTTTTATTATTGAAAAAAGTGTGCTTCTGCGAAGTGCTTTAAAAATGTGAATAATAATTGAACACAAACAGGATATACAGTATATCAAAATATATTTAGATACGTTATAAAGCTGAAAGAGAAGCCGGACTACTTTTCTTAAGTTAAAATGTAAAATAACTCGTTTTATATAAATCGAAAGGAAACTGCAAATAATGACGATTAGTAGGCATAACGAAAAGTCTCTTTTATTTCGTAATGTATATGGCATGCAGGATTTCAGATTCCAATTCAACAAGTAGCATACCTATAAATGTTTGATAAAATCCAGACACCAGCTCTACACTAAGCAACCGGCGCACAAAAACAACGAAATTCACGGACTAGATATTATGGACATTTTGCTCCCATGTTTTACAATTGAATATTGTCCGTCCAAATATGACGATTTTCGACAAAAAAGATTGTGTGTACGATTATCATGCCTGAATTTGTTCTATAAGCGACACATGAGCCAAGTGGACTCGCCATGCATTCAAGGAACTTATCAAGTAACAGGATCCCCTCACTAATCCTGAAACTTTGGTAGAAAATGTTAACGCGTAGTGTCCTTAATTTCTTGTAATGAATTTTATTTCATTTTTGTACTGTTTTCTTATACGTAGGGTAAAGACCGTATGGGAACGAAAATTTTGTTTACATTTCGGTATTTAAAATATTGAAATTTCTTCGACAACTTTATAAAAACATTTGGGATTTAAAATTCTAATCATGGATTTAACTGATCATTTTGATGATCTCGATAAACTGTGGATTATCTTAAAAACGTTGATTATCACGATTTTCAATACTCATGGCCTTCTTAAAACCAAACGTGCAAAAACCTTAGAAGCTCCATGGCTAACCTCTGAGCTAAAACCACTCGTGTTTCGCAGAGATGACCTTAAAAGACGCGTTTTAAAACTAAATTGTCCGAGTCGAATTGGCGATTAACACCAGTCCGATTATACTTGAAAATATAATTATATTTTAGTAGACATTTGGACGCAATAAAGGTGACATTATAAAGACCTTTAAATTAATTAACAGGTGTAGGTAAAAGGCGGACGGATAAAAGGCGGTCCGCGGACGCAGGACAGCGGAGCATTTTATAAACACATGATTACTACTGCAACTAATTATAATACCCTAAATTAAAGTATACAAGCCTTAGATATGTGAAATGAATATGTTTTCACCCGTTCGATTTCTTAGCAATATAATTTTTTAATTAGCATTGAATACATATGTACGGTAGGAGGCTGTTCGCCGTCTTTCGTGCGAAACTTTTGGAAATATTGTTTAAAGCGCCTTAGTGTTGGTGCTTCTGTATATAACTGCCCTAACACTGCTATTAAATATAAATATTATTAGGCGGGTCTGTTAAATGACATTCATTTGCTGTCATTTTTATACTTTGAATTGTACTTACTTATAATCCGCGTTTCACCTACTAAAGGCTAACACGTAGCCAAGGTGCATTCAGAGTGCTTACACATTACCATTGAATACAGTACAATACAATACTATTTTATTTAAACGCGGTAAAAATTTTCAGTTTACAGATGGTAAGTATGATGAATTAAATAAATATAAAAATACAATGAAATGGTTTACAAGATTGCCGTGTGGAAGTCAGGTAAATTACTAGTTACTATTAATAATATTCCGCTATTGCTTTCTAAAAATTGGGCAAATGATTGTAGTTGTCGTATAGCTTGAGGGTGACTATTCCAAACGACTGCCCCACTATGGCAAAAGCTTCGTTTTAAATATTTCGCTCGTGAATGGCTTTGGCAAATTTGAGCTATAACGAGGTCAATACAGCAAGACCGAGGTTTGATAATATTTTCCCGGACTGCCCGGACGTTTGAGGTCAGTAAGTTTTTTATTATATGGCATTGTACGTTTGTACAAGATGGGAATGAAGGTCACGCGAGGGTATGGCAAGCCAACTGTAGCAATATTCAATAACTACATTCAACGTCAATTCAATGGAAAATTCAACGTCAATTCAATCAAAATTCAATTTCAACGAAAATTCAACTTCAATTCAATGAAAATTCAACATCAATTCAATGAAAATTCAACTTCAATTCAATGAAAATTCAACTTCAATTCAATGAAAATTCAACTTCAATTCAATGAAAATTCAACTTCAATTCAATGAAAATTCAACTTCAATTCAATGAAAATTCAACTTCAATTCAATGGAAATTCAACTTCAATTCAATGAAAATTCAACTTCAATTCAATGAAAATTCAACTTCAATTCAATGAAAATTCAACTTCAATTCAATGGAAATTCAACTTCAATTCAATGAAAATTCAACTTCAATTCAATGAAAATTCAACTTCAATTCAATGAAAATTCAACTTCAATTCAATGAAAATTCAACTTCAATTCAGTAAACTTCCGGCTTATGACATCCGGGATCGCGGGCTCAAGGGAATTGCAAATGGCGACCGAACTTCAAGAAGAAACACTTGTACAGCTTGACGAGTTTGACATTGAAACTGGTTTACTTGCCTTTCTGTTCTTGGTGCTAGACAAATTGGAGGAATGTTTTGATAATCCTACAACGGATACAAGTCATATACAAGCTCAGTATGTAGTTGTGGATAAAACTGTTAACCTGCTGAGATCTATTGCCGAGTCAAATGAGGAAGATCGGCTTGAATGGGAAGCCTTGGCCCAGGTATTTTCTGCACTATTATTCGAAGTACAACAGCATCTTATAACGCAAACTTTGAGACCATCTTCGATTTCTGTGCGACAGTGTGACACTGTTAGAACTGGAGCTCCAGGTAGACCACCATTTTATATTCCTGCAGAAACCTTGGAAGATCTTCGTGGAATTGGGTTTTCATGGCAAAAGATTGCTCAGTTCTTTGGGGTTTCTCGATGGACTGTCTATCGCCGAGTCCAGGCATATGGCTTGCAAAGCATGCAACAGTTCAGTTTGTTAACAGATGCAGAAATAGATGATATAGTCGCAGAATATTTAGGTCGTCATGGTTTCACAACAGGACGAACGTATTTAGCAGGTTACTTGAGGTCACTCGGATTACGAGTACAGAGAAGAAGGGTTCGCGAAAGTTTGACCAGGGTGGACCCTCAAAATACTGCTTTGCGATGGGGAATTGTTATTGCCCGTAGAAAGTACTCAGTACCGTGGCCCAATTCATTGTGGCATTTGGATGGTCACCACTCTCTTATTCGTTGGGGCCTTGTGGTGCACGGGTGCATTGATGGTTTTTCAAGACGAATCATGTTCCTGAAATGCAGTAACAACAACCTCTCGCAAACTGTTTTGGAACTGTTCATGAATGCAATTGAGAAAGATGGCCTATGGCCATCACGTATTCGCGTTGACCATGGGGTGGAAAACGTATTGGTATGCGATGCCATGGTGAGTGCAAGAGGTGAAGGCAGGGGAAGTTTTATTGCGGACCCTTCCACAAGAAACCAGAGAATTGAAAGACTTTGGAGAGATGTGTTTAGGTGTGTATGTAGCTTTTTTTTTATTATATATTTTATGCAATGGAAGATGCTGGTTTACTTAACATCAACAGC